GACCCTCGTCAGCATGAGCATAATTGTCATAGTTATCAGACCACCAGGGTCATTGTGCAAGTGCTGCCGCAGGTAGCGTTGGATGTTGCACCTGTCGCATGGTATTTTTAATTAATTGCCACACACCTCGCCATTGCCCCCGCAGTTATTACACATTGCGCCACATGCCGTGCTACCACTATTGATTGTGATGCATGGGAAGTCGACGAATCTGATACTGCCGCTCCCACATCAGGCGCTGGAACGTGTGACCCGCGATGCCCTGACATCTCGCCCATTCCCATGCAGAGTCACTGTTCTACCGTTGGCCCAGATGCCCCTGTCTGGGTCAGGAAACAACAAGTTAATTGCATCGTGACCGTATCTGTTCTTCAAGCTGGCGTGTCCACTGCATCGATTGCGTGCGCAGTGCGGTCCTTCGGTTGCAGCTGGTCTGCGTCACCGCTCCCCGTCGTGCTTACGCTGGCGTACCATGCTGCGCGACCATGTCCCACGAATCATTGTCGATCACAGTGTGCAGACCCACAAATTACATATACCGTAGCACCCCGCAGTTCCTGCTAAGAGTGAGAGGGCGGGCGAGGGGTGGGTCGCGGCGTGGGTCGTGGATGGGTCGCGGCGTGGGTCGCGGGTGGGTCGCTGGCGGGTCGCGGGGTGGGTCGCGGGTGGGTCGTTGGTGGGTCCCGGGCGAGGACGAGGGCAACAACAACAATAATCTTGGCCACGGAATCCCCCTTCAGCCTCGCACCCAGGGACAATTATTGACCGTTCGGCCCCGTCGTCATTCTGATTTATACACATGTAAATCGTGGGGAAGTTGCAGCTATGTTCTTATCATCTTCCGGGGCCAATCCATGCTCCTAGGCGCCAGGAATGAAGCGGGAGCTCACGAACCGCAAGGGTTGACATTTATCTGGAAACGCCTATTCCTCCCCCCCCTCCCCCCCCCGCTCCTCCAACGGGGTCGGGGGTGTGGCCCACACTCCCAGGCACTTGGGGCATCCATGGATGCCAAGGAAGGAAAGGGGAGCGGGGCGAGGGAGAAAGGGGGGGATAAAGCGAGGGGAGAATCAACGGGGAAGGCGAGGAAGAGTGTAAGGGAGACAGCATAGAAGAAGGAGGTGCACAGGAGGGTTAGTTGAACACGGCGCGCTGGCTGCTGGGATCTAGTTCCATGGAGGGTGTTGGCGAGCATGTGGGCTGAACATGCGGCGAGCACATTGCCTGCCGGCGAAACGGAGCCTGAACCGTTGAACCTTGCCACGACGAACGAGGTACGCAGATCCGTACCGTTGACATATTGGCAACAGTATCCAGCCTGCGTCGGTAGTTATTCTCTTCGAGCGTAGAAGCGAATGATCTCGCACTTGGTCATGTGTATACATCTGTATATGCACGCGCACGGCTTCTACGTGCTACGATGTTTTCCCATACGTGCAAGTTGGTGCGGGGTCATGTTACATACGGCTACTGATCCTCATTTCCCCTTCTTCCATCGAATGCTCTTCCTCTAGTGTCTTCTTTGCTTGCCCTTTCCCTCCTTACTCGTCATCGGCCGCTCCTTCTTGTCCCTCCTGCCTGCTTGGGGTCAGGCATCGGAGCAGACGTTTTGATGGGTCGCCCGGTTCGCGCCGCTTGGGTGGAAGAGGTTTGTTGACAGTGTCTCATCGTAAGCTTACGGAGACAGGGATTCAGGTCTTGGACTGTGCCATGGCGTTGCCACAGTCGCGATTGACCCCGCACCTGCTGTGCATTCTCGTCTCCAGTGTCCCCGAATGCCATCCCGAAGCTGTTCTGATGCGGAGGGCCGGTGCCAGGGGACTCTGCGGATTTCGACTCGCGGAAGACAGGGTGTTGGATTCTCTGGCGGGCTCTCGTCCGCGGCCCTGTTCGGGCCTCGCAGACGGCTTGGTGTGCTTGCCCAGAGAGGCCCGTCAGCAGGCGCGCACGTGTGATGCTGCCTCGTCTTCTCAGTTGCCTTCCCCGGCCCCGCCCCCTCTGCGGGCAAAACTTTTGCCCGCCTCCACTCGAGCTTGGAGTTCCCGGCTCTCTTCGCCAGAAATCCCCGGCGCCCTGCGTGCAGGCATCACTCTTGCCCCTGGAGGCCCGGTATTGTTTGATATCCAGTTCGCCTCGGCCTTGCGGCACCCCTTCCAAGATAGTCCAAGACGATTTGGATGTGTACATAAGTCTTGCCCACACCTCCCTCTTCCGCCCTCCCTCACCGCCCTTTCTCCACCCTGCCTCCCTCTCCCGTCCCAAGCCCCCCTGCCCCCTCCGCCCATCCCTCGCCCACCCCCTCCCCGCTCCTCCCTTCTCCGCCCCCCTCTCCCCGCCCTCGCCTCCCCCCTTCCACTCCGTCTCATCGCTCCCCTCCCTCCCCCACCCCTCCCCTCCCAATCCCTCCCCCCATTCCCCAAATTCCACGCCCGCCTCTCCCACCTCATCCGCGCGCGGCGGCCGCCGTCCCACCGTGCAGGCCTGGTCCCTGCATGGTGCGCCTGCTGCGGTCCGTCCTCCTCGCCGCCGCAGGACGCCCCCTCGCCAGCATCGCCGCCATCGTCGTCGTCCGTGTCCCTTTCGATTTCGTTGTCCCCCTCCCCCTCCCCCTCCTCCTGCTCCTTCTCCTTCCCCCCCCATTTTCCTTTCTGAGGACAAACCAACTGACGCATAGCCATCACATGTTGGAGGTACTCGCGGATTTCTGGGATCGGCGCTGGACCCCCCCCCCAGATGCGCCTCTGGCACCGCCGCCCCTGGCGCGCTCTGCCCCTGGCGCGCTCTTCGCGCCAGGGAGGCGGGCCATCCTCGGTCCAAGAAGCCCGCGCGGACCTTCAAAAGCTCATGCCCATGCAGTTGTGTGTTCCTCTGTCCTCGTGATCCCCCTCTCCTTCGCCCTCCCGCTCGCCCTCCTCCTACCTCTCCTCCTCCCGCCTATCGACTTCAACGGTCGGATAACCCCGCTTATCTTTGTCAAGGGATGTCTAAGTCTCCTCCACCTCCTCCTCCTCTTCATCTCCTGCTCCTCCTCCTCCTCCTCCTTCTCCTCCTCCCCCTCCTCCTCCTCCTCCTTCTCTCTCTCTCTCTCTCTCTTCAGATTTCCCAAGGAGGCGCAAGGGGAGGAGCGGGGGATGACGAAGAGCTTTCCCTTCCAGCCCGCTGTGGCATGTTCCTTCGACGCGTCCCTGCGCCCTCCTCTCTCCTGCCTGCACCCGTCCCTTCTGTTCGGACGCCTGGCTGCTGCCGGGCCGTCCGGGGGATCGCCAGCTCTGCACGCGCTGCCGCACGGAGCCGTGGCTGATCCGGAGGTTGCGCCCACCACCGCGTCGGAAGACGGCATGCTCTCGCTCTCCTGCCACGCTGGATTGGAGGCGGCGCGTCGCTCGTCGGGAACTTCGCCACGAGATGTGACGACAGACTGGGAGGATCTAGGGCTGCGCGCGTTGTTCGGAGCTGGATGTTGCGAGTCTCACGCGCGTTGTTCGCCCGCCGTGCGCAATGCCATCGGCGACCTGCCACTTTCACTCGACAGACAGACAGACAGAGAAGCCAGGCGCCCGGACGGCGCATCGGCAACATAGCGTTGACTAAGGATTGACCGGCCCCCGCACGTACCAAACGTGCGTCGTGCGAGCGAGCAGCGGGAGACAAATCGACGTCTTGAGTTCAAACAGATTCGTCAGGACATTTTCGACAAGCGGAGGGGAGGAACGGGAGGGGGAGGAGGGGAGCGAGGGAGGGGGAAGGGGGAGGCACGGCCCTCAGAGCCTCCTGCTGCGCGGTGGCCTCATGGAAATGCCCATCATGTGCTTCCAGCGCTGCTCCAACCCCACGGATCGATCGATGATTGCCTCCTGCAGCCGCTGGTGGTCCAGGTGCCTCTTCGCCGCTTCGTTCATCATGTGTGAATAGAGGGCCCGCACTGGTCTGGGTATGTACGTCTTCAGCCGATGCACGTGGTATTAGAAGGCCCGCTCGCCCTCAGTTGGCCCGCTCGCCCTTGGGGCAACGTGTCTTGTCGGGGCCCCTGTGTGCGAGTCCACGCCTACAGATGCACACCCGAGGAACCAAAGAGTTGTTTTGTTCGGCAAGTTCGCGTTTGCTTCGAGTTCCGCATTCGATGCTGCCAGAAAGTGGCTGTAATCGAAGTTCAAATCTGGCATTTGCATTTTCTGTGCTGCACCAGTGAGATATTGTATGTTCCTCGCGCTGCCTGTGCCTACGCGCAAGACGGCGTTTGGCTTCTCTGTTCCTCTGTCTCTGTCTGGGCATTTCTGCTGGCCCGCCTCCATAACGAGAGCCGCGCTGCCGTCTGCTCCCCTCCCCCTCCCCCGGCCCTCATCCTCCGCCCCCTCTGCTGATGGGGCCAGCATTGGGAGGGGCCAGTGAGGTCCCCGGAGCTCGCTCCCGTGCTCGGAACGATCGACGGGTACCCTGAGGAATGTTGGCACGCCGCCAAGCCAGCTGTCGTACTGCTTCCGCCATGACTTCGGCGTGGAGCCGGATCACGAGGGAAGAGACTGAGGAGGGAAGCCGCGGGGTGAGGAAGGGTCGTGGGAGGATGCGGTGGGGGAAGAAGAGATACATGGAGGGAGTCAGAAAGATGAGGAGGCAGGAGGGAGGATGAGGAAGACTTGGAGGAGGGTATAGGTGACGGATGGATGGGGGAGGACCAGGGAGGAGTAGAGGGGAAGAGGTGGGAAGAGGAGGGAGGTAGGGCGGGAGGGGGAGTGAGAATGGAGGAGGAGGAGGAGGAGGAGGAAAAGCAGAAGTGAGGAGGCGGAGGGAGGGGTGTTGGGGGTGTTGAGGGAGGAGGACGGACATGACGACGAGCACGAGGAGGATGGGGGCCCGTGGAGGATCGGCCCGACGCTTCGGATCTGGAGGGTTGCGTTCTTGGGTCCTCTCCCTGCTCGTCCTCCCATTCCTCCCCTCCTGCGCCCACGTCATCGTCAGCCTGCGTCTCAACTGTCTTCGCAGCCTGCTTGGCTCAAGCGTTCAGGGGGGGCATCCGTGCCCTCGCAGTGGTCTGTGAAAGCCATTGCCCCGGGCCCGCGAGAGCTCGCCCTGGGAAAAAGCGGCCTGTCAATTTGGAGAAGGAACCTTTGCATTGACATACGCGCTCTAATGTCCGCGCGGCGTTCTCGGGTCGGCGCGGGCCCCCCCCACCCCTGGCGGTGGTGCCGCCACCGCCCTCTGGCGCGCTCCGCACGCCAACGAGGAGTGCCGAGCGCCGGCCCACGAACGGCTTCCGCGCAGGCCTTCGAACGCCGCCGCGTCTACGCTGAGCCCCATCGTAAGGAGGAGTACTCTTCCAGGGGTGCCCTGGAGCCCCCTCCGCGCGGCCAACCTCGAAGAGGAGAAATTGCCACAAACATCAACTATTGGCGCTCCGCGCGGATCTCTTGGATCCGCGCTGGGGCCCCCTGGCCGTGCTTCCGGCGCCGCCCCCGGCCTCCTCCGCTCGCCAGGGATCGGGGTCCAGCATGGATCCAAGGCAAGGAATCCGCGCGGAACGCCCAAGGTTTATGTTCACGTCGTTTCTTCTTCTTCTTCTGCAATCCCGGCCCTCAGCCCGTCGCCATGGGCCACATGGGCTGCCAACCTCGGTCTCAGCTTTGACATCCACGGGGCCGTGCATTCTCACGCCAGGTTCGTGTCGTGACGACCCTGGCGTGGGTTTCCGACCAGGGTTTGACCTAAGCGGTGTTAGCGATCTCGTGGGTCGTTTTCGTTTTGATTTCGTTTTGCGGCAAAGGCGGACCGAACACACTAAGCGGGGAAAACGAAAGCAAGACGAGGGCGGAACACACTGTTTGCGTCGAGCCCTGCTTCTGACACGGCGTGGACCGCTCAAACTGGAACGATCGGCGGCTGTTCGATCGCATGATCAGTCCATACTGGCCGATTCTGGACCACCAGCTGTGTCCCACTTTGGCCGCCCTTGTGGCGGGATCGCTGCCGCACCCACACGATGGGAACCTGGCCGTACAGTCGGGGCCCTGAAGAAGGAACCCTTTTCGTTGGGAAGGGGCTCCGTGTTCCTCAATTGTTTCGCAGTTTGCCTCAGGTTTTTCTTATGTTTTCGATAGGGAATCGAATTTTAACTTATGGAAAAAAGGGGCCTCGTTCCCTATTTTCGGGTTCCTTAGGTCAACGCCCCGACTGCACCGCGCATCCCCGGATCCGACCTGGCTGCATGGCGTGCTGCCCCGCCCGACAGGCGGGGGGTGCCAGACTCTGGAAGACAGAGCTCCCGACCCGCCTCGCACGCCCTGCGTACCGCAGCCGCTGGGGATCCTGCCACGCGTGCTCGGGTGAGCCCTTAGTGGGCCCTGGAAACGACAGGGCCGTTTTTTTTATCGGTTCCGTTTTGCCGTTTTTTTGCCGGTTCCGGCGCCGGTTTTTTACCGGTGCCGTCGCCGTTGTTTTACCGGTTCCGGCTCCGGTTCCAATCCCGGAGCCGTTTTTTGCCGTTTCCGGTCGCCGTTTTTTCGCCGTTTCCATTTTCAAGGGACATTTTTTTTGGAAACGGTGAGAAAACGGCCCTGCCGTTTCCGGGGCCCTTTTGGGGGGCTCTCCGTGAGCCCCCCAAGAGGCTTTCAGGAAGCCCCCACGAGAGGTCTTTCCAAGAGGGCTGTCAGAGGTCTCTCGTCCACGACCCAGGCATCGCATCGCGTTCTCGCTGTGGGGATCGCTCGAGGCAGAGTGATTTGTTCTCCCGCTCGACGCGCGGGCGCGCCACAGCAAAGAGGGCAAATGGGGATCAAGGCAAACATTCGAGTGCAGTGGAGACCTTTGTTGCCTCCAGGGTGCCCTAGGTTTCTTGGGTTTCGTTAGTTTCGCTGTGGAAAGCGTGACGTGCCCACACGAAAAATGAGTCGACGCCCTTGGTCTCAGGGTTGGGCTTCTTGTGGAAGGTCTCTCTGCTGTCTTTTCGCTCCCTCCAATGGTTGCGTTGTGGGACTCTGCCTTAGGGCCTGCTCAGCTACAGTCGTGGCGCTGCCAGAAGGAAGACACCCGAGGAGCGAACGGGCGCTTCTGTCCGCGGCGGGCCTCGTGACCCCGAGTCCCCTCCCAAGCCCAGAGTCATCCGTGCGGCAGCGCCCTGGCTGTACACGAGCAACCCCTCAGAGTCCCCTCCCAAGCCCAGAGTGATCCGTGTGGCAGCGCCCTGGCTGCACACGAGCAACCTGGAGCACCAGTGCCGTGCTTCCTTCTCCACCCCGATGCGCGGGCGCGCCGTCGCCCTCCTCGCGGGCGCCGCGGCGCCCGGCCTCGTGGGCGGCTACCGCTCCGCCGCCGCCGCGGGCGGCGCCCTGGACGGGGCCGGCGAGGCGGCCGCGGGAGGCCGCGCGGCGTGCTCGGGGCACACCGAGACCACCCGGCCGGTGCACGTGCTCTACACGCGGACGGGCCTGTCCTGCGCCAACGCGGTCCTCCACCTGGCATCGCTCGGACGTGTGCGTTGTTTCTTTCTTCGGCGAGGACCATCGAGGAGCATCCTTGATCAGTTGGCGAAAGAGCCACGCACGAAACCGAACAAAAGCACGGGGAATGGACGTCCGAGCGATGGCCAGTTCACCGTGGGCGAAAGATGGGCGCCTGTGTCCGCGGCCTCGCGGGCCAGGCGCCGGGGCCGCGGCGTGCTGTCTCGCGGGCGCCCCGCGCGGAACGCGCCCAGGCGACCGCGCGTCCGCGGGACCGCGCCCGAGGATCCAGACCGCGAGGGCACCGATACTACAGTCAGGGCGCTGAAGAAGGAACCCTTCTCGTTGGGGAGGGGCTCGGTGTTCCTCGGTTGTTTTACAGTTTGGCTGGCGTTTTCCTGAGGCTTCCGACGGGAAATCGAAGCTTGACTTTTGGGATCAAGGGGCCTCGTTCCTTTTTTAAGGTTCCTTAGGTCAACGCGCCCGACTGTAGGGGAACAGAAAGTGACCTAAACATGAAACCTCGGAGGTCCGCGCGGATTTCTCGGAGGTCCGGCGCTGGGGCCCCCCCGGCGGCGCCTCCGGCGCCGCCCCATGGCGCGCTCCGTGCGCCAGGGAGGGGGGTCCGATCCGAGAAATCCGCGCAGGCCTCTGAGTTTTGATGTTTATGCCACTTTTCGTTCCCCTAGATACCGGCATGAGGGGGAAAAACACACACAGACACAATGAATCCTCGATTCCCCAAAGAAAATGTGGGAAAAGATGGGAAGTGGGGGGGGGAAGACGATCTGGGAAAATATGGGGCCCCTTCAATGGTCGCCGCTCGCGCGTGCCCGCAGGCGCCATGCCCACAGACCGAGGCGGGGAGCCGGCTCGGCCAGCTCTCGCCGATCGGGGCCTGGGCGCCCCGGCCCGCCTCGGGACGCGTGGGTGCTGGGCAGATGTTGCACCACCGCTGCCACAGGTGGCACGGGGCAGAGTCCTCCTCCTCCTCCTCCTCCTCCTCCTCCTCCTCCTCCTCCTCCTCTCTTGACTTTGTCACATGTCAAACTCATACTCATACTCCTCCTCCTCCTCCTCCTCCTCCTCCCTCCTCTCCTCCTCCTCCCCCTCCTCCTCCTCCTCCCCCTCCTCCCCCTCCTCCTCCTCCTCCTCCTCTCGCGGACATCGCCAAGACGGGGTACGTGCAGCAGATCGGCGGAGTGCTGGTCAAGCCAGATGTGGAGGTCACCTGCGACAAGGGGAAGGGCAGCCTGATCGACTACGGCATCGCAAGGAAGGACTTCGCGCAGAAGGTCAAGCTAGAGGCAGTCCGCACGGTGCCGTGGCGAACACATTGCGGACTGACGCTCACGCTGGAAGGTTCGGCGACGGCGTGGTGGCATCGCAAGATGCAGTTACCGAAGGAGCTGGCGACACCGCCGCGACCGAAGAAGAAGGCGGATCCGCACAGCAAAAGGACCCGCAAACGACAGGAAGAACGGCAGCGAGCAGAGGAGCGACTTGAGCCACACCTTCGGGAAGCATTTCAGGAGCAGGCCACGATCGAAGAAGCGGAGTCTGAGAAGAAGGTCAAGGACTTCTACATCACAGAGGAGACTTGGACGGAGGCGGTGGCGACGGCGAGCTTATCAGGTTCGAGCTCAACACCTTCGGCGTCCCAGATATTTCTCTTCGGGGGCAGCCAGGGCCGCACCCCACCCCCAGCCTCCAGCGCGTGGCCGCTCTTCGTGAGCGTTGAGCCGCCCGAGGTTGTCGGCCCTCCAAGCATGGAGGATAATGGGGTGCTGGCGTTCCCTGCTGCCTGGCCCGCCGCATCTCGGAGGGCCTCAAGCTGGCACTTGTCGCAGGAGCTCCAGTCTTGGGACGACAAGCTCATCATCCGAGACGCCAGGCATCGCGAGGCAGAGGCGGCAGCGACGAGGATGTACGGCGACTGGGTCACCTGTCTGGAGGAGGCGGCGATCGTGACGGATGAGATCGACGAGGAGGAGGCCGAGCACTACCGAGGGCGGGCTTCGGGCTTCGAGGTCAAGTGGGTCAAGGCGCGTTCGACACCAGGTCGCACCCACATGAAGTTAGGGCCAGCGGAGCAGTGGGGCATCCTCAACGCCATCCTCATCAGGTACCAGGCGCTGTACACCAACGGCACTGACGGCAGGCAACAGGCAAAGTGCCTGGCGGAGGCAAAGGCGCAGGGCAGGGTCTTGCAGCAGATGGATCAGAGCCAGGTCTTCGGCAGGAAGATCGGCGCAGCACAGCAGCAGATGTTCTACGAGATGCTGGGCGACTTGGCGGACTGGGAAGAGGGGCAGCTCGGCAACTTAGTCATGCACGCAGAGGGCCACCTCGCCACCGCGCAGTCGCGTGGCTTTACGGCGCAGCAGAAGAACTTCACGGCGTGGGCCAAGAAGGCATGGGCAGGCAAAGTTGGCCTCCTCCATCGGCATGTGAAGGAGCAGCAGGCGCCGAGGTTCGAGCTGTGCACGGAGGAGATGGAGGGCATCGCGGACCCAGACGCCCTCATTGGCATCAGGAAGCACGAGTGGGAGCGCATATGGACGGACCCAGTCGATACGAAGGAGGACATCGCGTACCAGCTGGGCAGGCTCCGCGATCAGTCCTGGGAGCACGTGCTGGAGCCCCTCACGCTGGAGCAGCTCGACGGGGCCATCGCCGCGTCGTCGTCGGCCAAAGCAAAAGGAGTTGATCACCTTGGTCCGCGCGATCTGGCTCGGGCCCCCAGACATGCAAGAATATGGTTACTTCACATCTTACAGTATTGCGAGCAGGAGGTCACATGGCCGAGGCAATGGGCAGCCACCAAGTGCGCGCTGGCGGCCAAGCCCAAAGGAGGAGATCGAGTACTCGGAATGCTGGCCCTTCCCATCAAGCTCTGGTCAAGGGCTCGGGGAGGTTGCTGCTCAGAATGGAATGATTCGGTATCGGCCCATTGGGACACAGCCCTCAAAGGCAGCTCAGCCCTCCGTGCGGGGCTCCTCAGGGCGTGCCTGGACGAAGTGGGGGCAGAGCTCGGGGCATCGGCGATGACGCTACTGTTGGACATCGAGAAGTTCTACGACACGGTCTCGCTCGTCATCCTGTCCCAGATCGCCCTCAGAGTGGACTTTCCCGCAGTGGTGGTGGCGTTAGAGATCACCGCTTTCGTGGGGCCGAGGTACCTGCAGGAGCGTAACATCCTCAGCGAGGCGATCTGGTCCACGAGGTCTTTGGTAGCAGGCTCTGCCAGAGGCGTGGGGTTGGCGAAGCTGTTCTTGCACCCGATATTAGAGAGGGCGCATCGGAGGGCGCCACAAGCTGCGCTGTGGACATTCGTGGATGACACGGTTGCGAGGCAAGAAGGTAGCAGGCAAACAGTCGGCGATGGCATCATCCAGGTCACGGAGATCATCACGGACGGACTCAAGGATCAGAGGATGAAGATCTCCAGCAAGTCTGTCCTGATAGGCACCCACCCGAAGGACGTGAAGCGGACGGCCAAGTCCATGAGGAAGAGGCAGATCCCCGTCTACGCAGTCACGGAGGCAGTGGACCTAGGCCTGGACACGTCGGCTGGGAGGAAAAGGGTTACGACGAAAGCGAAGCAGCGAGCAAAGCGGGCGAAGCACAGGTTCGCCAAGATTGTGAGGCTGCGACGTACTGCGGCCCTGGCCAAAGAGAGCAAAGGTTTATGGAAGGCGGGAGCAGTACCACAGGCAGTGTACGGCCACCAAGCCTTCGGGTTCGCAGTTCATGAGCTTCAACGGCTACGACGACAAGCTGGACAGGTGGCAGGAGGTAAGGCGCGTGGGCGATGCTTGACGACGACACTGGCGGTCGAGCTGTGGAAGGGCGACCCAGGGGTGGCAATGCGAGTTGCCGTGGTCAAGGAGTGGATCAACCTGTGGCAGCGCCACCCCGAGAACCACGCCAGGATCGTCAAGGCATGGCCGCGGATATTCGACCGTCTGTCAAAGCTTGGGCCAAAACGATGGAGAGGAGTTCGCGGACCAGTCGGAGCGGTGCAGGCGACCATCATGGACGTGGGCTGGTACGCACCAACGGCTACGGTGTGGATGCGACCAGTCGGAGCAGATGAGGATCCAGCAGAACAGTGGGACATCCCGTCCGTCACGGACGGCACTTTCGACAACACGGGGTGCTTCCAGCAGCTGGTAGACGACTTCGAGGACGACATCGTAGCTCAATACTGGAAGGCTGCTGCAGCACACCCACATGGTGAAGGTTTGGAGGATGGAGCGGATGTCTGGCAGATCCGCGCGGAGCAGCGAAGGTTCGAGAAGCAGGGGCAGCTGGACATGGTCGGGGCCAACATCACCGTGGTCGCGGGAGGACAGTGGCCGAAGCAGCGATCTGTCGACCAAGGATACCTCCTGGACTGTAAGAAGTGCGACAGGTGCAAGGAGGAGGACGAGACCCTGATGCATCGGATCTGGCTATGCCCCAAGAACGTGGACCACGAGGACTTCACCAAGTCGGCGGACCTGCTGCCGGCTGCGATGGCGCAGGCAGAAGCAGAGCCTGCGCTGTGGCTTCGAGGATTGCCGCCAGCCTCTCTCACGCACCCTAGGTTTAATGATGAACTGTTAGAGGGGAGGGAGGTTCGGTTTGGTGAGCTGGGGGACTGGGGGGAGTGTCAGCACGAAGGTGAGATCCACATTTTCGGCGACGGCTCAGGAGGCAAGCACTCCTCGGACCCTCGCAGACGCCGCTGTGGATCAGCGATTGTAGCATTGCAGGAGCGAGACGGGGAGTGGATTGTGGGCAGAGCTGTAGCAATCCCACTCCTCGGTCGCAGGCAAACGGTCCCCCGCTCGGAGATTTTAGCGTTCGCTTTGGCACTCGAGGAGTGCCACGCAGATTTTAGTTTCATTACCGACCATAGGACGATCGCGAAGACCTGGAAATACCGCCTGGAGCACCCGAAAGCCACGGGTCCCAATGAGGACCTTTGGGCCCGAGCCAGAGTGGCCTGGCAGACTTACCCAGACAGAGTTGTGAAGGTAGTGTGGACGGCGTCCCATCTGGACGAGACGCCAGAGCTGCTTGAATCGCCGCAGCAGCTTTTCATGGCAGCTGGGAATTTAGCTGCGGATGTCTGGGCGGGAGTCGGGGCGGAGCTGGCTTGGGAGTTCGGGCTGGTGGGGAGCGTTCCAGAGACTGACAAGATAGATGCGATCGCACATCTCGTGCGCAAGAGAGCGCGCAGATCTTTGCTACTTGCCGCTGCGTCGGAGACGTCAGAGCGTGCAGGTAGAGCCCCAGCCAGTAAGAGACTTTTAAAGCAGGAGAGATTGATTCGAGATTCTCCCCACCAGCTAGAGCGAGTAGGAAGCAAATGGAGGTGCTCTCAGTGCGATGTGATTGTGACTGGAGCCAGGTTTTTGCGTTTTTCGGTCTCCCCGTGTGCTGGGCCCCCTGGTAAAAGCAGGTCGGAGGTCCCAGAGTTCCAGCCGTTTAAAGGAGTGGACCTTGAGATCCACGATTCCCACACGATCACCAGGGTTGACCGCTGGTTCTTGCAGATTTGTTCGGTTTGCGGTATGTATGCGACAGTGGACTCGAGGTCCTTGCGTCAGAAGTGTAGAGGTCTCACACCGAACGGTGCAGAGAATATCCGTCGAATTGAATTAGGTCTTTTCCCTCGGCGTGAGGGGCCCCCCAGAGCCATCAAGATGGCCATAGCTCGCAGAGATGAGAGTCGTGTCGTGTCGGCCCACGAGGCCTGGGGGTCGCAGGAGAACAGCGAGCTTGGGGGGGGCCCCGCCGAGCCTCCCGCGGTGACCCGCGCCCGCAACGACGGGCACGAGCGGGAGCAGCTGCGTTGTGCTGCCAACGAGTCGCGCTTGCAGGCTAAGGTTCAGAGATTGTTGGCTGCTGCGAGAGGCGCGGCTGAGCAAGTGCGGGCGCCGCGGGAGGATTCAGAGTCTTCCGATTGACGGCAGATGTCCGTAAGCCAGGACGAAGACTGAGGGACAGAGGTCCGAGAGCAAAGAGGTCCAAAGAGGTCCTCCTCCTCCTCCTCCTCCTCCTCCTTCTCCTCCTCCTCCTCCTCCTCCTCCCCCTCCCTGTCCTACCGGTGGTAGTGGTGGTGGAAAGTCGGCCCATCAGTGGGGGTTCTCCGTCGGGGGCCCGTCGGCAATGCATCGCTGGTGACAAGCCTCTGCCTCCCCCTCGCTTGGGAGCGTCCCCAGAGGGTGGTGACCAGGGGGACGTGATGCGGAATGGTGGCCACGGTCCCCCCCCAGACTCCAGAGGCTTACACCATACTCGGCGGCGAGCGAGTGGGGCAAGTTAGAAGGAGAAGGCCTTCTCAGAAGGCTCGGAAGTCCCCCGACCTTCTGAGAAGTTTTCTGAGCCTTCCCCGAAGACGCAGAAAACTTCTCAGAAGGCGCGAGGGCTCCTGAGACGTTCTGCCGCCTTCTGAGAAGGCCTTCTCCTTCTCATTTCCCCCTCTTGCTCGCCGCCGACATACCCAGAAGAGGGATGAAGTCCACGGTGGAGGCACTCTGGGGCCTGTGGGGGGCCCTTTGTGGGCCTCTTTTGGGCCTCTTGGGGGTCTCATTCGGGCCGATTGCTGGCGACCTCGGGGGTCCTCTTGGGGCTCTGTTGGAGCGCCTGCTGGCGATCTCGGGGGGTCCTCTTGGGGCGGAGTGCTTAGAATGTCTGTTCGAGTTACCTCCCTTGGGCCCCTCCTTGGGCCCTGTTGGGGCTCTCCCTGTTAGGGCTCTCTTGGGCCTTCTTGGCCCGTCTTAGGACCCTCTTCGGCCGTCTTGGGGCTCGCTTGGGGGGCTTCTTTGGCCGTCTTGGAGGGGTCACCGGTGCCGCTTGAGCCGTCTTGGACATTGTCGAGACCGAAAATGCAAACATGTTCAAAGTTTTCGTTTTCCTCATGGATTTTGATGATTGTTTACTATTGGGGCGGGGTGCCTTTGAGGCCTCTTGGGCAGTTTTGGGACCCCGGGTGAGCTTTAGGAGCTGGGCCCCGCCCCCCCTGCCCCCCTCTGATTGGATTTCAGGCCCCAGGGGAGGGAGAGAGTTGGAGGGGGCAGCCAATCACCTCACACTCCTTTGCACCCCCGGCAAGCGGGGGTCAGCAAAGTGCATGGCCACATTGTCTTCTTGCAACACGCCCCCACGCTCCGCTTCCACCCCCCCCTAGACCGCGCACATGCCTCGAGCCGTGATGCGCCCCGCCCCCTTAGTCATGGCTCTCCCCCTCGCTAACTGGCGCAGCCGACCTTGCGCCCCACCCAGAACTCCGAGGTAGTTTTTTGGGGTCTGAGGCCCGCTGAGGCCTCACAGAGGCCAACCACGGTAAACAAGCTCCCGTCGTGGTTGTGCACGACGAGAAAAAGGTGGAGCCCCTTCAGGTCTCCTCGCTGGCGCCATCGACATGGTCGCCCTTCCAGGCGAGCGTCAGCATGGACGACCCGCTGCTCACCACCGCAGGCGCCAACGAGTCCCTCCGCCTCGCGCCGGAGGTGGAGCGCGGACCTTCGAATGTTGATGCTTATTTTCGGACCCCATCGTAAGGATGAGTAGCTTTTCATTCGTACCCTTGCATCGTTCCCTCTCGGACAATGTATTCAGCCCTCAGCCCATCGCCGAGGCGGGGAATTTTCCATAGCCGCCGCCTGCGGGAGGAGCTTGCGGGGCCTCGGTGGGCGATGGATATGGATATCCAACTGCCTGCGGCAAGTCAAGCAATAATGCCAGCCCAGCTCTCTCGGTGGTCTGTCGTTGGCACGTCTTAGGGGTTTCTGGGAGGAAGGTGCTTGACTCCGTCACGTCTGACACCTCGGCTGCCTTGGGGTGTTGGTTCGTGTTCGAAGTCTGTGGGACCGTTAGGGGCGATGGCGGCGATGCTGATGTTGATGACGTTGCTGGTGGTGATTATGGAGCCGACAAAGGTGCTGCTAATGATGCGGATGCAGATGCGGATGCTGATGTTGATAAGTAGGATGACGGTGCTGTTGCTAATGACGATGATGGTGGGGATGATTACGATGAGGCCAAGGATGGCGATTGGGCTCAAGATGGTGACGATGATGTTGGTGGTGAGGGCGAGGACGATGTCGAAGATGTTGGTGGTGAGTATTGATGATGGTGATGATGAGACTGATGATGATGATGATGATGATGATGAGGATGATGATGCCAGTGATGATGATGATAATACTGATGATGATGACGATTATGATGATCATAACGATGCCGATGGCAATGATGAGGATTACACTGATTGTGGTGATGGTGGTGGCGATGATACCGGCCATGGCAATAAATGATGGTGATGACGTTGATGATGATGACGACGGGGATGACATCGACGATGATGTTGTTGATGACGATGTTGAAGTTGTCGATGAGTATGATGATGATGATGATGATGACAACGATGCTTACGATCAAGATGGTGATCAAGGTGTTGTTAATGATGATGCTGATGATGCTGATGATGCTGATGTTAGTGACACAAGTGACGATGATGATGATGCTGCTGCTGCTGCTGATGATGATGATGATGATGATGATGGTGGTGATGACGGTGATGGTGATGATGGCGTTAGTGATGATGTTGTTGTTGATGTTCTTGCTTCTGATGTTGATGCTGAACTTGATGACGATGCTAATGGCGATGGTGATGACTATGATTATGGTGTTTGTGCTGGTGGTGCTGATAATTATGATGCCAATGATTGTGATGCCACTGATGATGATGATAGTGATGATGATGACGATGCTGATGCTGTTGCTGTTGCTGATGCCGCTACCGATACTGATAATGCTGATGTTGATGATGATGATTATGCTGATGATGATGATGATGATGATGATGATGATGATGCTGATGATGCGGTTGGTTAATATTGTGATTGTGATGATGATGCTGACGATGATGGCGATGCTGATGCTGATGCAGACGATCATGATGGTGATGTTGATGATGATGATGCTGATGTTGCTGCTGTTGTTGCTGCTGATGGTGTTTATGATCACGATAATGCTGGTGGTGATACTGGTGTACGTTAGACTGTTGATGACGATGATGTTGATGATGCTGATGATGATGCATATGATAATGCTGATGCTGATGCTGATATTGCTTGAGGTGGCGATGACGGTGGCACTGATGACGGTGATTATGCTGATGTAGATGGTTATACTGATGAGGCTGATGACGTTTGCGATGATGTTGCTGATGGTGATGATGATGTTGATGCTAGTGATGACGAGTATGCTGATTATGGTGCCGATAGTGATGATGCTGATGAATATGAGGATGATGATGTCGATGATGTTGTTAATGATGTTGAGGATACTCATGATGATGCTGATGCTGATGATGCTGCTCATGCTGACGCGGGGAGGAGGCGGAGGAGGAGGAGGAGGAGGACGAGGAGGACGAGGAGGACGGGGAGGAGGTGGAAGAGGAGTAGTGGGAGGAGGAGGTGGAGGAGGAGGAGGAGGAGGAGCACTGTTACATGTGTCACCTGTGGTCTTCACTTCGTGAGGATTCCTCATGGACCTCAGTTGGGCAGTCTTGGGGCATCTGTTGGGCCTCTAGGTAGCCGCTTTGGAGCCTTTTTGGGGGGCTCGGTTGGGACTCTTGGGCCCCCCCTGGGGGGTGGGCCTCTTGGGGCGGAAGGCTCGACTTGACGGTTCAAGCACAATAACTGCGTGTCGCCCCTTTGGGTCCTCTTGGGCGCAGCTCTCGGGCGCAGCATTTGGACCGCTCGGGGCCTGCTGAGGGCCTCTTGGGACGGACGACTCGGACTCTTGGTTCGTGTTCTCCCCCCTTGGGGTCATCTTGTGACACCCTTGTGCAGTCAGTTTTGAGAGCCCTCTTGGAGCGCCTCGTACCCCTCTTGCGGACCTCGTGAGCCGCCTTGGAGCGTCAGAAGCTCGATGATGCGAGAACCCAACAACGTACGTACCACTCCGCAGTTTGGGATAATAATGAGTGGGCTGCGAGGACGTCCTTGGTCTGCGAGGCTCTGGAGAAGCACGCCGCAGGCGCCCAACTTTTACAACTTATGCATTGAGCCCGCCGCAGGCGCGGATTTTTTTCGCTAAATCATTGTGGGTGGATCGCGGGGTGGGTCGCGGGCTGGGTCGCGGGCTGGGTCGCGGGCCGGGTCGCGGGTGGGTCGCGCATGGGTGGGTCGCGTTGTGGGTCGCGGGCTGGGTCGCGGGCTGGGTCGTGGGTGGGTCGCGGGGTGGGTCGCGGGGGTGGGTCGCGGGTGGGTCGCGGGGTGGGTCGCGGGGTGCGTCGCGGGGTGCGTCGCGGGGTGCGTCGCAGGGGGGGACGACGACAACAAACAACAACAACAACAACAACAACAACAACAACAACAACAACAACAACAACACCATCAACAACAACAACATTAACAACAACAACACTAACAACAACAACAACACCAACAACAACAACAACAACAACAGCAACAACAACAACACCAACAACAACAACAACAACAACGCAACAAGAGAATCCTCACCACGGATCCCCACTAGAGCCACGCACCCAGGGACAATGAATGACCGTTCGGACCCCTCACTCTGACAACCCTGTTCAGGGAACTTGCTGCTTTTTTCCTCTCGGGGGCCTCCTGGGACCTATTGAGGGCGGACGCCTCGAATGCTCGGATCGTGTGGCCCCCGTGGGCGTGTCTTGAGGGCGTCTTGCTGTTTTTCCCAGACAGTCTGTGGCACCTCTTGGGCCATCTTGGAGCCCACTTGGGCAGTTTTGACACGTTCTTGGGGCATATTGGGCCGTGTTGGGGCAGTCTTCGGAGCCTCTTGCGTTGCCGTTAAGCTCGAAGATGCGACATTTTCCAAAACATGGACAAACTTACGGAACATCGGTACATCAATGCTAGCTGTTTCTCGAGGCTTTCTTGGGAAGGCCTTTGTGGCTCTTTGGGGATTCCTGAAGGGCCTCTTGGGCAGTCGTGAGGCCATCTTTGGACGTGTTGAGGCCAATGTGGGCCGTCTTGGAGGCAGATTGGGCCGCTTGGGAGGCATCTTGGCCTCGTGAGGGCGAATCCGTTGTGTCGCCTCGGAGGAGGGGCCGATGCGCGCGGGCCAGCATGACGAGACTGGTGGTGGTGGCCCCTAACAGATTACAGAGACCCTACCAGGCAGCAGTTAGTACTCCAGCACGCAGCACGCCTCACCGCGCCAGGGGGCATGGCGGCGGATATTCGGGCACCGAGGGACCAAATATAGCCAGACTCACCGTCTGTAGAGGCCTTCGAAGCTCTCTTCCAGAGGCGGTGGTCATGGATAGTATCATCCGGCTTTGCACCATCGCCATGGGCCACATGAGTGTTCAGCCTCGGCCTCATTTTGGGCTTCCAGGGGCCTCACCACCGCGGGCGCCACTCTGGCAAGGCTTCGAGCTGCCCAGCCCCATCATTTGGTCCCAGCTGTTCTCAACAGGCCCCCCGAGTGATTTCAGCTGGCCTCAACATACCCCCCGGGAAGCCCGGGGTACTGTCAACACCTCAGCCCAGGGACGCCGCCCGAGGCGGCGCCAGGCTACTCGGGTGACCTGTTGATGCCAGCTGGGACTACTCGGGGTGCTGGTTGAGGCCAGCTGGGACTGCATGAGGGGGCCTGTGAAGGCCAGCTGGGGCCACGTGGGGGGAGGGGGAGGGGGCAGCTGTGCGCAGCCCGAAGCCTTCCCACATTGGCGCCCGCGGTGGTGAGGCTCCTGGGCAGAGGGCGGCCGACACCCCAAACCCGTGCGATTTCACGATATCACCACCGCCTCGGGGACTCGAGGAGCTTCGGGGGCCCCGGCGTCTGGGGAACTCACCGTCCACGACCCCCGGCGATGCGGCGCGGTCGTGCGACCCCATCTGCTCGGACCCCAGTGGGGAGGCCCCGAGGGGCTCCCCTCCGCCCCGCGCGCGGGAGGTGGAGCGCGGGCTGCGGGAGCTGAACCTCACGCTGGACGCGGTGCTCGCCTCGTCGCTGGGCAGGGCGGTGCAGACCGCCCTGCTGCAGTTCGGGGGCCGCGAGGTCGGCGGAGGGAGGCGGGGGAGGAGGAGGGTCCGGATCTCCCCAGCTGCCGAGAGAGAGTCCGCGCCCCGGAGCTTGCCGAGCCGTGGCGGCCCTTTGGCGGCTGTCGGCGTGATGCTGACGAGCTTGGGTCCGCGGGCCACGCGACAGGAGGAGCAGGAGGCTGAGGAGGAGGAGGGGCGCCGCCTGTGAGCTGCCACGCCCCAAGTCGCTAGCCCACTGGCCTCACCACAGCTCTGACTTGGGAGGGCAGGGTGGATGGCGTAGAGTCGGGCCTGGGGAGGGGATCGCCGGTGGAACGACAAGTGGCGGGCTGGAGGCCCCCCAAAATATGTTCAGCACCCTTCCGGCCACGATTTCACTGGGGTCTGGCTGGTGGACGGAGTATTTGAACCTCCCGACGCCCTACACAACATCACCGCCGCCGCCGTACGAAAATGAGGAGTGGTGGAGCAGGAGGCGCTGGGTGGGGGGGGCCAGTCTCCCCGCCCCCCTGTGGGCTCCTCCGTTCGGGCGTTGTCCTTTCGTTGTTCACTCGCGCGGTGCTGCTTAGTTTGATCAGCCCCTCCCCCCTCCCGCAGGGGCGTTCGCCCAGTGGGGGGCGACCCCCCCAATATTATCGCCCCAACAGTGGGCGACGACCACCGGATGCATCGACGATGCGGCGCGATCTTCCGACCCCACCTGTTCGGTTCCTATTTAGGACCGGCGGCGAGCGAGGAGGGAAGTGAAAAGGAGCGGGCTTTCTCAGAATGCTCGGCAGCCACCTGGCCTTCCGAGAAGAGTTTTGAGACTTCCCGAAACATACACGACAGCAACAACAGCAACAACAGCCAGTTTCACAATCCGCGAGGGCCTCTTAGAAGTCCTGCCCTGCGGCCTTCTCAGAAGGCATTTTCCTTCGCAGTCCCCTCCCTCGCTTGCTGCCGATAGGAGGCCTCTAAAGAGGAGGCCGGGCGAGCGGGCGAGGTCTGGTCGGTGCCTTTCGCCGTCGGCAAGTCCGCGTACGGCGCTGGCGGCCCGCACTTCGGGGAGCGGGTTGCGCAGATCGAGGCGGAGCTCCAGGGGGGAGGCTTCGGCGTCCACACCAGGCCGCCCTTCGGCTAGGAGGGGGGACGCGACGACGAACCGCGTCCGACGACCGACGCCGACGACGACAGCCGACGACGCCGACGACGCCGACGCCGACGACGACGACGACGACGTCGACGGTGGCGACGACGACGACGACGACGACGCCGACGACAACCGACAACCGACGACTGACGACCGACGATGACGACGAAAACGACGACGACGCCGACGACAACCGACGACCGACGACCGACGACGACGACGACGACGACGACGACGAAAGCGACGAAAACGACGACCGACAACCGACGACGACTACAACCGACGACGACCGACGACGACCGACGACGACGACGAGAACAACAAGAACGACGACAACCGACCACGACAACAGACGACGACGACAGCCGACGACTGACGACCGACGACCAACGACGACGGACGATGACAACGACGATAACCGACTACAAGGACAACGACGACGACGACGACGTCGGCTACGGCGGCCAAGACGACGACGGACGGCGACGACGACTACGGACGGCAACGACAAGCGATGACCGACGACTGAGTACCGACGACGACGACGACCGACGACGACGACGACGACGACGACGACGACGACGGCGGCGGCGGCGACGACGACGACGGACGGGAAGAGGGAGGGGTAGAGGGGAGGAGGAGGGCAAGGAATCGGCAGATGTTGATAATTGCAGCGGACTTGCGCGCAGGAGGACTGGGGTGGAGGGCGGCGTGCGTAAGAGGGGGGTCAACGAGGAGTCGGGCAATGAGTCAGCGGAGGAAGAGGATGGGAACGGAACTGCGCGCAGGAGGAAAGGGGAGGGCGGCGTGGGCAGGAGGCAGGGGGGGCGATGGGGGGGAGGGGGGAGGAGGAGGAGGAGGGCAATGAGTCATTAGAAGAAGAGAATAGGAAGGGGAGGAACTGTACGCAGGAGAAGTGGGGGTGTCGGCTTGGGTAGGACGGGGTGGGGAGGCGTGGGGGGGGAGGAGAGGGAAGGAAGAGGGCAAGGGGAGTCAGTGGAGGAGGAGGAGAATTGGTGCGGAGATGCGCTCAGGAGGAATGGGGGGGGGGTCGGTCGGCGTGGGCACGGGGGGGGGGGGGGGGGAGGAGGAGAGGAGGCGACAGCAACTCTGGAGCGCGGGAGGCATGGGGCGGGGGTCGTCGTAGTCAGGGGGGTGGGGAGCGAAGGAGGACAAGGGTAGGAAAGAGTAAGTGGACGAGACGAAAAGGGCACGGAGATGCGCGACGGAGGAATAGGGGGGCGGGTCTGCATGGGTATGTGGACGGGTCGGTATGGTGAGTGGGCATGATACGAGGGGAGGGAGAGGTGAGGGGAAGGGCAATGAGTTTGTGGAGAAGCACGGGGGCAGAACTGCGCGTAGGAGGAAGGGGGGGTGGGTCAGTGTGGCTGGGGGCAGGGGGGAGGCGGAGGAGGCAGGTGGACGAGGGCAAGGAGCCAGTGGAGGAGGACAACGGGGTGGGAAGTGGCGGAGGGCAGCTCGGGGAATAGGGCAGAGGGGGGCCTGGAGCAGCGGGAGGAGCGGTAGCCGCTGGCGCAGGGGCAGGAACAAGAGGGGGACGTGCAGGGGGATGTGCAAGGAGGGGGGGGGGTCAGGGGGAGCCGGGGACAGGAGCAGCAGGGAGGGGCACGGAGCGGCACCAGCACCCACGCGGGGCCTCCACCCTCACCCCTTGCGAGGGCGAACGAGCAGTGGCTGAAGGTGTTCGGCATACATCAGGGCGGTCCTGCGGACTTCGAGCGGTTCCTCGAGAAGAGTTTCTTGCCGTCTCTCGAGCAGACAGTGGGGGCCGACAAGCCCCCAGGCGACCCCCTGGTGCTGGCCGTCGTCACGCATGGCAACTTCCTGAAGAAGGTGCAGGGGTGCAAGGCGTTGTACTCCTCTGGCAGCAAGGGGTCGAAGGTCTCGCGCCTCAACCAAGTGGTGCGCAAGGTCTACAGGCTCACGACTTCCACGCCGGCGCCGGATTGCGTAGACGCTACGCCGAAGTACCAACTGGACCCGAATCCGCACGTCTGCTACCCCTTTCCCGCCGCAGCGTCGCGATTCTACGAGGAGGATGGCAGCATGGTGGAGCACTGCCGCCGTGACCTGGGTCAGACGTGCCTCGGCATTGTGCAGTCCGAGGGGCTCGCCCTGAACCTGGTAGAGGACCAGATGGAGCACGTGCACAAGGCCATGGTGGCCAAGAACGAGCTGATCATCCAGCAGAATCTGGCCGTGGCTGAGCAGCAGAAGAAGTACGACGAGTGGGATCACGCGAAGGACGGCGGCGCATGGTGGAACCCAGCAGGCGCCACGAAGGACCACAGGGCGCAGATTGTGCACCCACACTGGTCGTGGCCAGGCCGATCCTGGGCCCAGCGGCCAGTGCACACTGTCTTGGCATCGCTCGGACGTGTGCATTTTCCTTCGGCGAGGACCATGCTCCTTGATCATTTGGCAAGAAAAGCCACGCACGAACCCAACAAAAAACACAGGAAATGGACGTCCGAGCGATGGCCAGCTGTAGGCCTCCTCCTGGCGCGGCCCAGGGATAGCCCGAGGAGGGGGCCCGGCCGGGATCGGCGCAGGTGCAGGGCGGACGCCTTGCTCGACTACGCGTAAGAGTGGCCCTTCGCTGGAGTGACCTTTCGGTGCGGGCTCACCTCGGAGGTGGCTTTTGCGCGCTTGGGGTTGGCTGCCTTGCGCCCCTGTAAGGGTAATCCTTACGCCGCGCACCAGAGGTCACTCTTACCCAGGGCCACTCTGGTGTGTGGAGGCGAATGCCAAGAAACACCCTGCTTGCCTCCAGCGTGCCCCGAGTTTCTTGGGTTTCGATGGTTTTGCGATGGAGAGCGCGACGTTCCCACACCAAAAATCCATGGACGTTCTGGGGTCTCAGGGTTGGGTTTCTTGAGGGAGGTTTCTTGTAGACTGGCCTCCACTGTAGCCGAATTGCGGTGAGGAGACGGTCCTCCAGTCCCTGCGGAGGAAGCAGGAACGCCTCGCGAGGAGCAAGGAGCAGCTGGGGGCGCTCGGCGACCGGCTCGCCGCCCACCAGGCGAGGGCGTGCCTCGACGGTGGGCCGCCGCAGCCGGCGTACGACTGAGGTCCTCGCGCGCTCTCGTGCTCTCCTCTCAGAGCGTCCCCCACCCCCCCCTCGCTCGCTCTCCCCTCGCTCTCGCCGCGTCCTCCACCCCCCCCCTTCCCGCCGCGTCTCCTTGCCCAACTCTTCCCCTCGCTCTCCTGCTCTCCTCTCGCCGCGCCCCCCCCCCCACCACACACACACACAGACACAGACACAGACACACAGAGACACACACACAGACAGACACACACAGACAGACAGACAGACAGACAGACAGACAGACAGACAGACAGACAGACAGACAGACAGACAGACAGACAGACAGACAGGCAGACAGACAGTCAGACAGACAGACAGACAGACACAGACAGACACAGACAGACACAGACAGACACAGACAGACACAGACAGACACACACAGACACACACAGACACA